ATTGCTGTTTAAAGCTTAAAAGCACACAGTACCGCAAAAGAATCAACAACGAAATGTGACGATCAACCAAAAGATAAAAAACTCTTAGGACAAGCTGTCTGCAGTAAACTGATACAATGCATTTGGGTAAAGTGCACCTGCTACTACATACCTTAGGGAGGGGGAAGAAAAGAAGATTACAATCTCGGCCGTTTTCGGGCGGTTCTGGTCGTTTCAATGTAGGGCCGTGTCGGGCGGATTGGATGTGAAGGAGTTAAATAACTGCCAAGCATCTTTTAAGAAAATTAAATAAATAGAAGCATTTCTTCTATTTGTAAATAATCTTCATTTCCGGTGAATAGATATTCTGTATAGTCGCAAATTATAAATATTCTAAATTAATAGTTGAGCGTTCTTTAATAATACTCGATATCTCAGTTTGAATCGCAAATTTCATGTTAACTGATCTGCTCCTGCAAACTGTTCAAAGTACTTAAATAAGATAGTAGCAAAAGATCAGTTAAATAATGTGGCAATCATGGAATATAACATCATATTTAAATTATGCAACAAGAACTATAATCTTTGGTAAGAACAAAAATTGTGATACAGCTATAATAGTTCGTAGAGGTCACTGTGAAAACTTCACATCTTCTTTAACCCTTCAATGCATGGTGATGCATATATGAATCATACGTATTTTTACTGAATTTAACACTAAAAAATTACAAAGCAGTTAGTTTACTGGGCTAATTTTTATCTTAATATATCCATATCAATGTTTAGCTATTCTTTTCTCTAGTAGATGGCAACATAAAACGGTACTTTGTATTTCATTAGTGCAAAGAACACGGAATTCATTTCTGTTTTTTTTCAGTCGTCAAGCTAGGTCTACCAGCGGCCGAGCGGTAAAGTCACTGAACACTGGTAGTTCGGTCCGAGGTTCGAATCCCGCGAACGGGCTGGCTGCACGGGCGTTTTCGTGGTTTTCCCCATGTGTAAAGTGTATACGAGCCAGTTTCCCTTAGAAAGTCCTCCACGAAGGCATCCCTCCCCTTAGGCAGATAGCCCTAGTGTGCTTTGCTGTAAGCGCAGTAAACCAAACCAGTCGTCAAGCTAGCTTTGTATTAGTCATAAATTCGATATTAAACTCTTAAAATGTTTACTTTGTATAGCTGAAAGTATGTACTTTTCAAATTTTGTTAATATTTAACTATAGAATTGTTTTAAAATGAAATATTTCAATTTTCTGTTTGATTCATATATGCATCACTATGCATGTATGATTAGATTTCATTTTAGAGTGCAGTGTGATGCACATAATGAATCAGGTTAAAATTTAGAATGGATTTTTAATTATAAGACGTTATAATACCTTTTATTTCATGATTACTTTAATATCAGCAACAACCACTCTATATTTGCATGTATTGTTCTTATTTAGAGTCATAAAATATTAATGTCTCTAATTATGCAGTATGTATATTGTTTGTTTGTATTGAAAAATTCCCTTAATTTTTTTTATTTATGTTAATATTTGTAAGTGGTCTGGATGAATTTGCTCACAAGTTTGAGGCATACTCAGGCCAAGAAAATCTACTTCACAATCGCTGAGCAAAGATGCAGAATCGGGCGCCAGTGTAAATGTTGTGATTAGATTTTGTAGGGAAGATTTCTCGAAATCAAAATTTCAACTTGTATTTCGACAACTTTTATACTTCAGTTCACATAATGAAATATTTAGCTGATTAGGGCATTCTTTGTTTGGGAACTGTGCATAGGAACAGAATTCCAGAATTCTTACAAAAGAGCAACTGAACAAGCGTTGAATACGTTGCAGACTGCGGTGGAACTGAAATATGTAATTTAGTGTGAAAAGACAATAAGAATGTGCTCTTGTTGTCTTGCGTTTGCTAGGAAACACCCCATTGAGTAAATATCTAGTTTCGACAGGAAGAAGAAAAAAAAAGACAGTTACTGTGGACTGCCCAAATGTTGTGAAACGACGCGCAACAAACATATGGGGGGGGCGTAGATGTGCTGAATAGCCATATAAGAATATACAAAATAACTGAGATCAAGAAAGTGGTATATGAGATTTTTTACTACTTCTAAGACCTTGAGATCGTAAATGCGTAGCTGCTGTACAAAAGAGTGTCTCTACAGAATGCGGAGCCAACCCTAAGGATTTGCTAAACCTGGCCACTTGAGCTATCCGTTGGATTTTGCAAAATGGGTAAAAGTTCAGAAGACGGAGAGGTCCTGCATCAAACATTCCTCCAACCTGCGTCACACAGGATAAAATTCAACATGTTCCCATATGGAACGAAAATCGCACTCATTGTGAAATGCCAAATTACAAAAATTTATTGGATGCGAAAAAATGCACTGTAGCATTATGTCTAAATAAGGACAGAAATTGTTTCGGAATTTTCCATACAACACAAATTGCACAATAAATATACATGTACAATATACAGGGGTTGGACAAAAATATGGAAACACCTTTAAAAAAAACATGTTTCTTTGCTTAATATGTTGTAGGAAACCCGTTGGCATCCAAAACAGCTTGCAGTCTTCTCGGAATGGATAAATACAGTTCCTGTATGTTTGCCAAGGGAATATTATACCATTCTTCCTGCAAAACGGTGGCAAGTTCAGATAACGATGTTGGCGGTGGATAACGAGAACGCACTTTCCGTTCCAATGTAGACCACAAAGGTTCGATAATATTCAGGTTTGGTAACTGTGGTGGCCAGGGAAGATGGGACAACTCATCCTCGTGCTCAGAAAACCAGTCCTGGACAATGTGAGCTGTGTGAACAGGGGCTTTGTCGTCTTGGAAGACACCATCACCATCGGGAACAAAGTTTGTACCATGGGATGAACTTGATCGGCCAAAATGTTCACATAAGTCTTGGCAGTCATGTGCCCTGACACAGTTATCATGGAGCTAGCAGAGAACCACGATATGGCTGCCCAAACCATAACAGAACCCCCGCCATGTTTCACTCTTGGCAACAAGCAGTCTGTATTATAGGCTTGAGATGGCGTTTCTCCAGACGTAAACTCGGCCAGAAGTGGAGAAACAATGTGAAAGAAGACTCGTCAGACCATATTACTCGCTTCCACTGCTCTATAGTCCAGGTTTATGACTTAAACACCACCTTTTCTGTTACGAGCATTAGCATCACTGATGAGTGGCTTCTCAATTGCAGCACGGCCAGCAATTCCCTGTTTATGAAGCTCCCTTCTAATTGTTTTGGTACCCACAGGGTTCGGTAACACAACATTCATTTCAGCAGTAACTTTTGCAGGTGTGTCTCTTATTTTTCGTCACAATTGCCCTTAATGATCGTCTGTCACGATCACTCAGGACACACTTTCGTCCGCGCTGTGATTTAGCAGATGATGTTTTTCCGCTTTTCAAATATGCGGAATAAATCTTCGATACAGTACCTCTTGAAACACTAAACACCTCGGCTACCTTGCTTACGGAAGCACCTACGATACGTGCTCCAACAATTTGCCCACGTTCGAAGTCTGTTAATTCTGACATAATGCAATGACAACCTCACATAACAGTACTCCGACAACAACTGAACTGTTTAGCAGATTTACGAAGTTGTATAGGTGGCGTCAGTAGTCAAAAACGCCAGCGCCACCTACATATTTCATTAAAATCAATCTTTCTCTTCAAACATGCATTTCACAAGGTGTTTCCATATTTTTGTCCATCCACTGTATTTGATACGTCATTTTTATTTAAATTTTCATCACAATTTTAATTTTTATAAAGTCTGAACATTATGATTAATCAGAGTTAGGTATTAATAAAATTTTAATTAAAGTCATATCTTCTAAAAACAATAAATAATTAAGTATTTTATGCCAATATTTATTTATAATGTTGCGAGGCCCCAACTTGTCAGCAACAGTGGTAGTGACTGCTATGAACTGTAAATTACACAAACTCGTAAGAAGGGTTTAAATCCCTTTTTATTCCACTTTAGAAATAACAGCTGCGTTCACTTGACGCTCACAAACTACGCCGACCTGGCGGTTTAACAAAACAGAAATGTGAAACTAAAAATAAATGACAGGATGAATAAATAACGAGATCACTACCTACGAGGCTCTAAATTCGTAACTTACTTAACCGCGTTCTAAGATACAGCTGAGATTCAGCAAACTTATTGATTAAGTAGTTGAAGATTCAACGAACTGCCGAAATAGGCACACAGGCCGAAACGCGCGGTTCTTAAATTTCTACCTAGCAACCTTCACGCTCGCGATTCAAGAAGCACACTCACAATCTCGTCTCCCTTCTATTTAAACTCAACTTACTTCTGATAAAATTTGAATAGACTGCGCGTTCTACTACAATTTACATACTCTGGAATTGGCAATTCTAGGGGAAAGTAAAGACTTGACAGGAAAGATAGCTTAAAATAAATGTTAATTAAAATAAATATAAACCCTACATATTAAATATTTTATTGCAGATGATTTTTCATGTGGTTTACTTTTTAGTGCTAAATGCATGACGATGCATATATGCATCAAACCTAAAAATTCAAAAAATAACCTATAAAAAATGTTAAATTTTTTAATATTTTCCCGTATTTATTTAAGTCAGGACCATGAAGGAAAAAAGTGTTTTGGTAAAAGTATAAAGAATCATGCATTGAAGGTTTAAGAAGTTTGAAGTGAAGTTAAAACTACTTATGATCGCAGTTTAATTATAAGTATTAGTCTTCAGATGACGGCTTAATTACATGGAACTACTTGAGAGTTTTCCAATTTCAGCATAAACTCAAATCGATTTGCTGAAAGAAATCGTTCATAAAACACCAAATGGTTCTTTAGCGTTTTGTTTTTGCTTCTTCATTAGCTCTACAAAATTTCAAAATTAGCATCTTTTACAAATTCTTTCTCAGCTGCTTTTAAGTTCTAAATTTCCGCTAGCCATAATTTTCTTCTCGTTCAAGCAATCTAATTATCTGTTCATATGTTTATAGGGCTTGGTCGTAACAAATACAAGAAGGGAAGCGTACTTAAGTTGTAAAGATACTACTAACCAAGGAGGCGGAACAGACTGCATAGTTGGTGTTTTGACAACGGCACTTGTAGATGGATATGGAATTTTCACAAATGTATCGTTCCTGGAAACAGGCGACAGGTAATTTTGTTTTCATTCCATACTTTGTAAACAGAATTTCATCTCGTGTTAAGGAATGCGAATCAATCCTAGAAGACGCTGCGCAAATCAAGGCGTTGTTTACATATCTTAGCCAATATTACGCCTTTTTATGACGCAATATTGGCTACTTCTCTTTCCAGAAATATTATAGAAAGAAATATTTCCAGAAATATCAATCGAATTAAAATTATATTTTAACTGAGTTGAAGTGCTACGTTTATAATGTTACTGCGAGAGATTTTATTATTATTATAAATCTACTTTATTGTGTGTTGTGTTCTATTGTTAACTTTCGCTCAGAAGTGCATTAGTAAGATTTACCAAACGATTGAAAATATTGAATGAATGATTTAAAATTTAAAACCGCAACTGTTCAAAACACAAAAAATAATTTTTTGCCTCAAAGAACATTCTGATCATTGATTAGTACGACTGATATCGGTATTTATGGGTAAATATTTAAATTTGGATTTTTTTCTACCAGTTGAAGCCAAAGAGTAAAAATGTGTAATTGAGTATTGTACGAAAAATCATTTGATTGCCATAATATCCGATTTGTGAAACGAATACGAAAATTGGTAGATCCAGAGAATGGTTTTGAATGGATGGGTAGAGTTAGGAGTGGCCAATGTAAGCATCGATTTACAAGTTCTGTTCGATAAGATTCGTATTTTCCGAAGATCTGAGAGAGATGTCGGTAAAGGAAATCAGCTGCCGCAACTCTGCATTCTGTAATAAAATCATTTTTCACTGAGAACAAATTGATGTAATGTTGCAATATTTAATTAGTTTATTTCTAGAAAAAATGCTTTTAATATGGCTAAGCAATGATAAAACGATTAAAGACAGAATTGCATGCCTACATGCAATACAAAATTGATCTTCTATTATATTGCTTTTCTACTGTATTGCAAAATTTAATTACAAAATTTAAGTTAATTTTAACATTTCTTTTCGCTCTTCTTATTCTTAACACGTTGAGCACCACGTCAGCCATCTGTGGCTGACACTAGATTTTCCGTTTAGGCCACGTGAGCCATCTCTGGCTGATACTAGATTTTCCGTTTAGGCCGCGTGAGCCATCTCTGGCTGATACTAGATTTTCCGTTTAGGCCGCGTGAGCCATCTCTGGCTGATACTAGATTTTCCGTTTAGGCCGCGTGAGCCATCTGTGGCTGATACTAGAATTTCCGTTTAGGCCGCATCAGACATCTGTGGCTGACACTAGATTTTTCGTTTAGGCCGCGTCAGACATCTGTGGCTGACACTAGATTTTTCGTTTAGGCCGCGTCAGACATCTGTGGCTGACACTAGATTTTTCGTTTAGGCCGCGTCAGACATCTGTGGCTGACACTAGATTTTCCGTTTAGGCCGCGTCAGCTATCCTCGGCTGACACTAGATTTTCCGCTTAGGCCGCGTCAGCCATCTGTGGCTGAACTAAACTTTCCGTTTAGGTCGCGTCAGCCATTTGTGGCTGACACTAGACCTTTTCGTTTAGGCCGCGTCGACCGCCGCTGGCTGACAGCGTGTAACATGATATATAACAATAAAATTTACACTGTTTTATGAAAGTACACAAAATTTATTTAAAATTTACTTAATTTTGATTCATGATTTGATTTTGATTCATCGGATTTCATTGAAACATGGTAAATATAAAAACGGTTCTCCATTACAGCTATTACAAAATGTGACAACACTCTTTTAGTCTTTCTACCAGTTTCTGTTGCATTTTTATCATAACATAATTTACAATATTTTCGTACTTCAGAGGCTTTTCCCGGTTTTCTTCGGCGTTTATGTTGTCGTTTTCTAGATAATCTTGCATTTTTGTTCGACGGAATGTCTTCTTTTTCACAACTTGTTGCTATCTTCTACCGCGATACGAATCACTGGCTCTACAATACCAGCGCTTTTAAGCAAAGCGCGTGGCCTTAACGGAATTGCCTAAAACATACGCGTGGCGCTCAACGTGTTAATTTCCGATTATAAGAGAATCGTGCGATAATCACAAACCTCTTACCGAAACTTTCTCTGCATTGATGCAACCAGGTTTTTGCGTGTTTTTCTCTTCGTTTTAGATAAGAAATAGACATTTTTTTTTTTTTTTTTTTCTGCAGTCATTTATTCAAACCCATTATCATTATAAGGGTACATCCCCGATCATCCAAGCTGGCCGTATGATCAAAATCCATTTATCTCCTGCTAAAGAGTTTTCATACACTGTTCTACAAACTGTTCAGGGTTCAGCCGTATGCTTTAGCACATGCTGGTGAACATTATGTTTTAACTTTTTTATTTTGTAAATATTGGTTTATTATTTCATTTATTGTTGTTACAGATGTATTTAAAGATTTTGTAAATGATTTCTGCGTGGGAGGATTTTTTCTTGTTGCTAATGATTTAACTTTAGAAACATTAGAAACAGTGCGTACCTTTTTGGGGCATTCGTTTGAAGCCTTCTTTCCATGTAGAAGTAATGACTGAGGGTTTTTCCCTTTCCGATTAATAATGTTGCTTGTTTAGTACTTAAAAAGTGTAATTCCATACATTTCGTAACGTATTATATTATGGAATGGGAATATTTCTCTTCGAAAAGCACAAAAACAGAAAAAGCTATAGGGAAAAGAGCGTGGGATGTTCTTTTAAAAGGACAAATCTAAATTTTTATCTTCTGCCTGCCAGCCTTGGTCGTAATTTAAAACTTTACGTTTAAACTTGGTGCTTGAAGGTAGTTCTAAAATAAATTAACGGCTGCATAGAAAATAATATACATTGAATATTTAGGCGTAGAAAGTAGTCTAATCATTTTATAGGCACTGAACCAGTGATAAATGATATCAAAATAAAAAGGCATTAATGGCGTCAGGGTAATATATAATAGGAGTTTGTGAAGAACCACTGTAGTGACATAAAATGTATATTCGAAAATTCTACGGCGCGTCTTATAGGGCCTGCGCATACGCCAACGAGCTGTAAAACAACGGTTGGGAAAGACTAGCGAATTTATGAAGAGAAATTTATAAGCATTACACTATAAAGCTTTACTATTAGCTTATTACCAGGTTACGCCTAACGTTTTCGTTTCGTGTTATTTTACACATCGTCGTGTATTTTAAGAAATTGTAAATTTTAAAAACAGTGAAAGTTCTTGACATGAATTAGAAATTAGAGACAATTTACCTTAAAGTAAATGTTATGTTTTACCGCATGCAACATGAATGATGGCAGGCTGAATCAATTAATAAAAATTTCAAAATATTTTCTGTCATCATTTGAGGAAGATTTACTTCTAAAATTAAGCCACTCGGACTTTCTATAATAACCTTAACAGGCGTTGAAATTTGAGTAAAATTTATCGAATAGTGTTAAGTGCAAGCCAGAGAATATCAATCTGTCGGAAAGATATCAACAAGAAAATGCATTTTGATGCATGGATAAGGGAGGTTGTAAGGATCCTACGTTTTACTAACGTTTATTTTATTTTAAAACTGTACTATCACTTCTTATTTTCTACTTTCGGCCAGAATTAAATGCTTTAACTTGTTTATGCAAATTGTCTTGCTAACGCCCAAGTATTTAAGTTGTGGCTTTTTGCCAAGAGTTAGAGAGAGAAGGAGATTGAGGAAGCGAGCCGCCTGCTACTGCAGTCTTACCAGTTTTCACTAGGTTGCTGTTTGCCTTTAAGGCCAGATGTTTAGCCCTCTTGATATTTGACTAACGTATTGTAGTTTCAGCAGCTCGGCGTACTACATACGTACCCGTTTTAAGTAAAGGCCAGTCTTAGAGCTAGGCATTTGTATACTAATTCAAAGTTAGCTTTTAGTTAGAGTTTTAGTTAATAGTTTTATATTTTTTACGTTCAGACAAGTGGTTGGTCTCTGTATCCCGAAGTTCGGGTACCTGTAAAGTAATATAGAATAAAGGGTACCCTTCCTGCTTGTGTCGTCTATTCCACTCAATCTGGAACAGAGCTTTAGTAAGTTAACTGTTCTTATTCAGGATACAGTATGTTCTCGAAACAAGTGAAAAGACATACATGTCCTGACAAGTTTGCTTATATTTCTAATAGCAAGTGGTTGTTGTGACTAATATCATTTGTCTAACCTCGTCAGAATAAGACCACGGAATTTATCGTAGCAAGGAGAGCACTAAATTACGCCTGTCGTTGGCAAGAATCTTCGGTATCGTATAGATGACAGTATAATTTTTTCCAGTTCCATCTCAATTTGATACAGAGCATCTCGAAGGATGAGTCCGAGGGATTTTTACTACAACCAAACCACACAAGAGGACTTTCGGTTCGCCACATCTTTAGAATGCCTCCATGCTGCAAAGTCACTATATATTTACAAACATCCATGTCTTCTTCTCCGGGATTGGAACCTGGGGCTCTCAGTACGATAGTCACTAAACTACCGTCCTCTTGAGTCACTAAACACCGTCCTCTTGGGTGGCTAAGATCAAGTTACTATATTTAGTGAAACTAATTGTGAAAATCGCTCGGAAAAACTTTAATAAAGTCATGTATCAGGAAATGGTCTTCTGTAGCACCATACATGAATCCACCGCCATTAGAGACAATGCGTTATAAATCCCACCCAGAATTTTGATTTACAAACATCCACCAGTACCTGCTTAGTAGATGGCAGGAAGTTATATAGATAGTAAATGTTTACCTATATTTAAGGCCTGAAAGAATTTTTGAGTACGAATTATGTAAAAGCCATTTTTATGTTGCGCTCAAATTTCCATTGGACAGTGAAAACTTCCAAAGCCCGAATCAATACAATTCTTTCTTAAAATATAATTCTCTACAGTGTGTACCTTTCGTGAATTTATAAATCTTTCTTTTAAATCCATACATCTTGCTTAGTCTGCTCCGAGTAAAGTTTTAATTTTCTATCCAGAAATAAATGCTTTTTGAACTGAATGATGGAAATGAATGTATATGAGATTGGTTAGAATTATTACAAAT